GCGGATAGCGCTCGCTCAAGAATGACATCATGAGCTCTTTGACTCCATCCTTTTGAATGTCCATCGATCTCTTCGGGAGAATGAGATGAAGAGCGGTTTCCGAAATATGACGTTACAGACTTCCCTCCAGTTCCTTCCTGTCCAGTTGCATAAGACGACGCAACACTGACATTGGCTCATCTGTGTTTATTGATCAATGTGCGGTTGTGCCGACCGTTTCCACTTCTCAGATGTGCTCATGAGACCCAGTGTTGCAGAAGAGGGAGATGGACTGTCCGTTTCCCTCTGTTACGAGATAATCAGGCCTCCGGCCGCCACGGTCACAGAACAGGCTCCGAGCGAGACGGACAGCCTCTCTGACGTCATCTGGGCCGGCAGGTGCGACGTCACTGGCCACAAATGAGGGGAGCGTCATAGGTTTCCGCGTGTGACGTCATACCTCGGACTCCCCAGGTGGATAGGTTAGTTAGTAAAGTAATCTTGGATAGGTTGACGTTGAACTCTTCATGTGTTACGTCATACAAGAGGTGAACCTTGTCTTTCACCTGTAATGTCCTTATTGCCTAATGCCTATGCAGATGGAGGAAGTGTGACCAATGACATTCATGGAGGTATTCCAATGATGACGTCAAATGGGTGTGACATCACCTTGGTTTGTCCGAGTATGACGTTGAAACTGTGGCAGTGCAACTGTGCATGCCAATTTTTAATTCTGACCTTCCGCTCGGCATGCCATGTCTGAATAGAATACCTAGAATCCAGATCCATATCTCGGCAGACTCGAATGCAGACTATTTCCGGGCGGGGAGAGGCATGACGTCTACGAGGTAGCACAGAGTGGTCAGTTGGCGTGGGACATAAATTGCACCGATATGCTGCTGGATGCTCGCATTCATGTTTATTTATTAGAGCGATTTACAAGATGTAATCAAATTACCTACTAGGGATAGGTATTGCCACCAACGCTAAATATTAGTTCGCGTGCCCATTTTGCCATTCAGTGCTGGAGCGTGAAACTGGGGAGCAGGGTAAAACCTTTGTCAATGGTCAATGATCCAGCCCGTTTCGACAAGTCTATGCTCTCCTCGTTTCAATAATCGTCCGTGACCTCAGACCTGTCTCGGAGTCGAGGGAGTGTGCAGACTGCAAGGCAATGCCATGGGCGCGGCAACTGTTGTGAATGTTGCATGCAGCTTAGTGAGAAATGACGAGAACAGAATAACCATTTCACCAGCCTGGCTGTCAAAGCTGCAACGGACCCCGATGTGACGACTGATCTCTAGCGACAGAGTCAATAAGCTGCCGATGTTGTCGCAATGAACCGTTCGACTGTAACCTGTGACGTCAATAACAAGAAGATTAATGAGGTTTTTTATTGAAAGAGAGAGAGAGAGAGAGAGAGAGAGAGAGAGAGAGAGAGAGAGAGAGAGAGAGAGAGAGAGAGAGAGAGAGAGAGAGAGAGGAGGGGGGGGGGGAGAGGAGAGGGAGATATGAACCACTCTTGATCTCGAGGCGAGGCCGTTCATGCCTGACCAGGAACTACCCGAATACCCCGTCTCTCCCTCTCGGCTCTTTTCAGAACAGCGTGGGTGAGCTGGAGTCATTAAAATTAAAAAACGGCCTCTCATGGTACCGACCGGCCCACCACCTCCCTCTGTTCATTCATCCTCCCCCTCTCCCCACTCTTCATTACGACCCAATCAGATGCACGCCGCGCCCCTGTAGAGCACGCCCTGCACGGCGCCGCACCGTACCGGCTACGCCCCTGGCCGTGCTGAGACGATTCTCTGTTCATTAGACCTCCCGACCGTGCCGGGTTTACGGCTGACAGAGACAGGCGAGCGGTGATTCACGGGGTCGTCAGTGAGCCCCTCCAAAGCCAAGCGGCCCGTGAAAGTCGGACTTGTACCGCGGTCAGGTCAGTAGTAACTCGCCCCCAATACCGACCCACGCTGGTTGCGCAATGGGTGAGTTATAAACGTCAGCCCCGTGGCAGGCTATTCGGGGTAGGTTTCCAGGCTACTGTGAATGATCCTGGAAGTCAGCTGGAAGATGGTGCAATGGAGTGTATGTGATTCATCCGATCTCCCTGGGTGGATACCTATGAACCTTCGCTTCGTGACCTGCATCCAAAATCAGCTTTGGATGCACCCGAATGGACGTCCCCGCCGCTGGTCCTGAATCCGGACGTAAACACACACTCCCAAGGATCCTCCCATGCAGACAGGGACGGGACTGAATTCCGCTCGGGATAACGGATCCATTTTCGCAGACATGAGCCAGGCTTAACGGCCCGAATCTGCCTGAGTCGAGACTGAGGACTATGACGTGGGTGAATCATGGCGACAGCAGTCAGATATGCGAGTAGAGTGGTCGTATAACGCGGTATCTAATGCTTCAGGACCGCTGGCTGGCGCCGACTCCTCATGATAGGTACAGGGCCGATTACCTAAATCTTATCGGGTGGACATAACATATATGTGTAATTCAATGGTTAACGTGTACGATTGTAAGCAATAGCGCAAGACTCTTGGTCGATTGACCATTGACCAACACGTATCACTTGATATGTTGCTATTTCTGATGACTTTCAAGTGGTGCATTGATATGCCCGAGTTTAATCATTAGACGCAAGTTGCTGAAGATTCACTTATTACTCTTTTTAGGTAGTTATCTGTAGGGAGTAGACATACCTACAGATAACCGGCTTGAAATTCAGTTATTCATGTATTCATGGAGTTTTCCACTTATAACTCCAGTCTCCAATGACGAATTATATGCCCGTGTCCCGTTACCGCGTATCCCTTCAATGACGAATTACATTTCCTTGTCCCGCATCCCCCTTCAGTTTTGTTTCGCGGCTCGGCCGGGGGTATGCCCTATTCTCGTCACCAGTTCCAGTTCCGTGCCGGTCCCAGCGAGCCGTGGTTCCGTGCCGGTCCGTCCCAATGTCATCCCTCACCGCAGGTCACACTGCGTCTGCCATGCGCGTCCGACCGCTGCCAGCCGACCGCCGCCTCCCCGACCTCCCCTCCCCTTCGGTCACGAACTCCAGCCGTGACTGGAGGTCAGTCAGCCTCCTCCGCTCGACCTCCAGACGAGCAGGAGTCCACACCTCTCAACGGGGACGGATTTAGAAGCTAATCCGCCCCGGGTCTTACCGGATGGGTGGGTGGGTGAGCTGCTCTGAACGAACGAGCTGGCACCGCCGCCCACAGGTGTTCGGCTCCGTCCAAGGCCAGGACTATGGGCCGTGCCGGAGCGACGGTTGACATGCATTCTGCTCTGTGTGGGTGGGGTGGTGTATTTCCCTTATGGTACGGGCGGTGTGCCGTGGTTCCTTTATGGTTCGGGCGTTGTGTTTTGGGTTCTCTGTGTGGTTCGAGCTGGGCGTTGTGCCATATTTCCTCTCTGTGCTGTGGTTTGGAGCGTTGTCGTGTGCCGTTCCCCTCCTGTGGCTCGGATGAGTGTGGTTGTGTGGTTCTTATGATGTGGTTCCTGCGTGTAGTTCGAGCCAAGCATGTGCCTGTGTTGTATAGGCCTTGTGTACTTGTAGGGTATCAGCCAGTATACATTTGCGACCACATTGTCCCAGTCAGACCGGTCAAACACAATGGTAGCGGACAGGGAAACTGAGGCCATCAGGGCGGCCTGACACCTCGATAGGCGAGCGTGCAATCATAACAGACAGCCACACTCCGCGACTAGCCAGTCGAACCGGCAGACAGGCAGAACGGTCGCCAGGTCCGGGGTGTGACTCACCGATACTCGGTGCGATTGTTCGGAGGGCGTACCGGGGAACTGGGAGGGGCGAGGGAATAGAGATCCCATTCTGACGGGCTTCATGACGACTGTGTACACAGACCTCTCGACTCTTGAGGCATTGATATAGGTTTACGCCTGTTGTGCGCAGTAGATAGAAAGCTTGCGAGTTGGCCAATGAGCATCCAGTTATAAATAGTGATGAAATCATATCTGTATTTATATTACATGTTTGGTTGGTCCTCATATTAACGTTCTTTCTCAATGAAACCATCGTCTTGGGTATCAGAGGAGTAAAATGAACATACGGCTAGACGGTCTAGGATACACGGTCGAGAGAGCACAGAGGATGATAAGTTAATGACTCGGAAGCGAGCTGCTCCTTTTCCTGGCTTTGATAGCGATTGATTTTGCCTACCTGAGCTTAGCAACGATAGCCATATCCGTCACATCCAACCTTGAAACCTTTGGACAATAGAATTATCGATTGAGTCCTTTCTTCATTTTATCCTGCAGCTATGAATGACATTCCAGTGTTTTATGTCTTAAAAAACGGTGGAGCTGAAAAGAAACGGTTGCAGCTGAAATTTATGACTGTTTCCTCACCGAAAGTCACGAGATCATGCGCCCTTTTGCTGTTTAAACGTGCCTGTTAGTAGGTTACTTCGGATTTTTCCTCGTTAACTATGACCATGGGAGCGTCATCCCATGATCACAACGATCGCAACATCATGTCTTGAGCATCACAAGTGACGCAACCCCTGCCACCACTTGTAACAAACAGGTAACGAATATGCATAGCGCTTGCCTCGGTCAATCATAAGAATCAGATGCGCAGCGAGTGGTGTGTTTGTGACGTCACTATGACGCCTATAGTCCCGTGACGGTGCAGGGGGACCGTCCGAAGTCCCGAGTTAGTGAGCCCTGCAGGTCGGGAGGGTTCGCCGTAACGAGGCGGGTGTGTTATGATGGTTGGAGATATTGGTGTAAACATTGGGGTAGCCTGCAGGAATGATTTGCAGCGGCTGATACTGAATGACCCTGGTAGTGCAGTTGGTACTGCGTCAGTTCAGGGTTTCGGAGGTCCAGGATTCGATTTCCGGTATCGCCCGTCTCTAGTCAAGCCGCTAAGAGTTGGGCATGCTATCACAACTGCCGTAGCCTAAGGGAGGAGGAGGTTCGATCACTCACATCATCCCAAATGTCATTCGTGTAACCACTCTCACACACAGACCTAGTCAGGTGAATGATGTGTATTGTTTGTGATCGACATTGAAGCGGGTTGTGCAATGCCAGAATCAGACACGGAATGGCCACTGTATCACCAGACCTGTATCATTGCGTCCGGACGGCGGTCACCAGACAGTCCCCAGACCACGTAAATTAACTCCCACCCTTCCGTTCCCACCGCTTTATTTGAGTCGCGACCGACCCACGAGGGAATCGCTTCAACGAGGCACGCACATCGAACCAATTCCTCACACCCACGGCGAAACAAACGGAACTTCTGACTAATGCACGCCTAACCACACCTAACAAGAGTAAAACAAATAGACTGTTCACTTCTGAAACAATAAGACCCACCCATCTCGCTCTCACGCGCCTATCACCTCACCCATCCGTCGATGCCCAAAGTGTGTCGCTCGAAGCGACACAGGCGACTAACCCATCACAGAATCGACGCCGGAGACGTTTTCAGTACGGGCCCACGTTGAGGTCATGCCACGGATTGGCCCGTTCGACGTCAGTTCTCTTCACCCATGAGCCAGATGGACCGGGAAGAGGTCGGGTCAGGTGGGGTAAGACTCACCCGCCCGCCCGGCCGGCCCGATAGCATTGGACTAGTTGATCAGACGGCTTCGCGTCAGTAACCGTCCAATCCGTTGTACACTTTGAACTTGCTCTCTTGTTGAATAATGTCCCGCAGATCTGTGAAAAGAATGAAAGGCAGTGAGGTCGAGGTGGGTGAGGCTTCAGTGTTTCGTGGTGCAGCTGTGTCGGGAAGCTTTTTGAGTATTACCGAGAACCAAAACAAAGACTTGACAGAGCGGAAGGCAATAGTGCACGGAATGCCCTACACACACAGTAGGCATAGTAACAGCAGACAAGACAAATCGAACGGTCAAGAGTACGACGTTGCAACTAGCTAGAGAAATATTTTCATCGCAAGCTGTAAACAGTCCGATGTTTACATTATCGGGATAATTTTAGGTCTGGACTGGTGATCACAAGTCGCACTGGAATGCGACGCGCGGCTCTGCACGCACGGAAGATGCATGCATGACAGCAGTGCTCGCATAATATAAACGTCTGCCAGCCTGTAAACGTCCGACAAAACCACGCTGCTCAATTTCACACGGATGCGCGGAAACCAGCAGACAAAACCACTTCAAACTAACCGGCACAATCCCGTTTGTTTGGCCGCTGGACAAGCACTAAACCCAACGAACACAAAAACTGAGCGTATAAACTGTGTCACTTGCGACACAAAACAGCACCCTTCGGACCACTTATAACAAACCCAACCAACGGAAAACACGAGAGGACCCGACGATCCGCTTCCTTGATCTGCGGAAACTCACTCTCTTTCTCCTCTTCGCTGAACTCCTTCTTAGGGAAATCGACGTCGATTGTGATGTACATGGTGCCGAACAGGTTGTTGTTCTCGTAGTTGGGCATGCCCTCTCCCTTCTTGCGGATGCGCGCGCCGGGCCAGGTGACCTTTTCACGCTGCACGCGCACCTTGTGGCCGTCCAGGTGCTCTGTCGGGGTCAGGTCAGGTTAGGTCAAGTCAGATTGTCACTGAGATTTACATGGAGAGCGACCTGAGGTGACAGGCAGAACAGATCAGAGGAAGAAAGAGGTAAAATTGAGAAAACTGACATTCGGAGGCAGACAGATGAGACGATAAGAAAAGCAGAACAAATCACTTAATAGTTTATTTGTAGAGCTGGCCGAAGCACCCTCTTTTTATTTTTAGCACCATGTTTTAGCGGTAAGTGCAGGACTCAGGAGTATTGCTAATTATAACGGTGGGTACGAATAGATGACATCCAGACAGGACAAGGAAGCAAAACACCGCCTAGCTACCACACCAAACAACCCAACACAGACGGTCCCACACGGTTCCCATTATTTCCGAGCCTGGGTGCGGTCCTTATAATCCGGATGCTGTCAGAACTCACAACGGAGAGACGCTTGTTAAGGTTTACAATTGATATTCATCGAAAATCTTCCTAATTCCGTGTACAGAGACTGACAAGGAAAATGTCCCAGTTTCCTCTCTTTGAGACATGCCTTTGGCGAATCGTTAGCCGGGCGAGGATGAAAATGGGCCGACATAAGCTGACAGGAACACAAATTGATGATTTAGAGAACCGGGACAGATTGCTGGGACATGCTTTACAACTCCACACAGACAAGTCGGAACACATAACATTCACTTAACCGACCGCAATCCCGTTTCACAGCAGTGGGATTGTTGACGGCGAAAATAAAAATCCCCTTGTTCCGCATTCAGAGGTGGAATATACAAAGAACAGTTAGTGCAAAGCAAGTGTCCTTAGAATTACCTACTCTGGCGGGGTGTTGAAACAAGCACATCTACAGCTACGAAAAAAAGAAGAAACCCCCGCCACAAAACTCCAACAGCCTCCTCAAAACACATCAACCCATTACCCCGAACGCACATCCCCCTATCTTTCGTCTGCGTCCCTCCGTCTCACCCAATCCCGGAGTTTCTCACCGATCTCCATGTCGAAGCCGGTGAGAGCGTCAGACAGTGAGACAGTCACGTTTGTGTACAGATCGTCTCCCCTTCGCTCGAAACGCGGGTGCGGCCGCGTCTGGATCTTGAAGATCAGGTCACCTGCGCAAGGGGAAAATGAGACATAAGTTACACTCGGGGGACGTCACAGGCTAGATGAACGGTGAGGAGAAAGAATAAATGTGGCCATGAGCACAATAATAGCGATACCGAAAACTGATATAATCAAATCGAATCTAACAGAATGGCGCCTGTTTATATTATACTGACACATAAGCCACCCCGTTCCACCAATAAATCACGACTCTATCCGTGCTCAGTCTACCAAACTGCCCTTGGCATTAATCCGCTCCGGTCTAACCACAACCCAGAATATCTCCACCACACGTCTCCAGTACAGGTGACAGTCAAAGCGCCGACACGAGAGCGGAGTCGGCTAAAAATGGCATCCGTCGCCGCGCTGGAAAACGACCGTGAGAAACGACAGATGGGAGAAAGGACGCTAGGGTTATTGTTACAATGTTACATAGAGGCACAGAAAACGGTGATGGGTATGGCACCCAAGCCACAGTTGCATCAGAATGTTAGCTGTCAATGTCATTCACAAGCAAGAGTAGGAATGGACAGCGATATTTTATGGCGACTTCTTTGAACTGCAAGCAGCTGTCCGAGCGGGCATGGATGTTCACTGGAGTTTAGAAGTGAACTTCACGGACTGCAGGTGCGAGAGGTCGGACCAACAAGGGGATTTTCTCTATTTTTACGCTGTTAATTGAGCGTCATTTTCCTATTCGCAGTATTGTTGAGACGTTTTAATTCGACCGTTATGCCTTTTGTACAGTCCGTTTCTTTCGGTGTTGGTGAATTCATTTGTCATTGAGAATGTTCACCACTTACCTGAACCAAACAATGCCATCAGTGCAACGACCGTCCAACCAAAACAACTTAAGTCTATCACACGCCACGGAACACATAACTTCTAGTGCCTAACGCAAGTTGAGCCGCATGTCTTGGAGACCACAGATCACAATTCATGGACCATGAAAACCTGAAAACCTCCGTCACAAGGGGAGACTGATCGCATCACAGGTCACGATCTACCTATTCCAATAACGGGGACCGGGTACGTTAGGAAAACAGCTCACCAGGGTCTCCGTCGACGTGCGGCTCTCCCTCGGCGACGAACCGCTGCTCCTGACCGTCCTTCATGCCCTGTTCGACCTCCACCTCCAGTAGTCGCTCCTCCGACTCCAGCCTGCAGTGTGGGAGGGAAGGAGAGGTCAGCACGAAAAGACTGATCGCTGATTAACACAAACTGTTAAGCGAGTACGAGTGATAATCTTGCGGTAACGTCAGCAAGGTAACGACACATGGCGTAAATCAGACGGTATAGAACAGTGTAGTGAACGTGTGAACACTGATCATTGAGTATCTAAGTCATATCGGTCAGCATGCGCGTAATAAAAAAAACTTAGCGCATCTAGTTACACACAGCAGCTCATATAGCAGATCCTTCGAAGCTCAACTCGTCAACGTTTAGCTCTTTCTACGGAGTCGTTACTAGTTACTACGGTAACCGTATTGAAATATCGGCTCAAGCTTCGAAGCCATCAAACTAGTCAACCAAAGCATATTTGTGATCAAACTCAAAAAAAAAAAGTAACACACCCTCTCTCTAAGCGACCCTGGGGGTGGAGCAGGAACGGTCTACTTACTTGACGTTGGGACACTCGTCGCAGACCTGCTGCTGAGTCATGGCGAACCGACCCGGGCCCAGCTGTCGAGTCACCATCTCCTGGCGGCAGTTGCAGCGCCGCGTACCGGACGCCGGCCGAAACACTGGTTTGTTTCGCACCACCTGGAGGCGCCACCAACGCATCGTCAGACACGAATCACGGCAGGGCGGTAGCGAATCAAAGTCTCGTCAGCACCGCGAAGAAATAATTTAAACTGTATAACCGCATTTCTAACTTTAAGAACCTGCATGAAATGTTGTCTTTCTTTGAATCGCGTATCCCGCAACTCTTTGTGAAAAAATTACCGTACCTTTCCATAAACGCAACAAATTATGCAACGAAACAACTACATAAATAGAAATCAACTACTACAATGCACACAAAATGATCACAGATCAACCAAAGATATGGGATGGCTACCACACATCCCACTTTCCCGGAGTGCCCGCTGGTATCAACTATCACACCTCGACAAAGTTGCCCGAGTAGAGCTCCTCGAGCGTGACCCAGAGGTCAATGACCACGTCGGCGCCGCGCGGCGTCTCGCCCCGGCCCCGCTGGTGGCCGTCGTCAAAGTCGAACCCGAAACCGCCGAAAAACGACGCGAACGGGTCCATGTTACCTGAAAATGGGCATGCATAGTGAGTAAAACATTAGAATCCTTTTTGACATTTCATACTTAGTGTCACCACTTGTCAGCTGTTTGTGAGCAAACATAGTTAGAACTCATAACTATGAAAAGGGACATTGATAGAACCAAACAGGCACAAGCTTGGAGATCCCCTAAAATTACAAATAGATACTGGTTTTCCCTAATTAACAAACCCCTCTCGAGCTAGTAGGTACTTACCAAAGCCTCCATCTTCTTTAACACACTCCTCTCCACATCTGTCATATTTGGCCCTTTTATCTTCATCTGAGAGGACCTCATAAGCAGCTCCTAGATCTTTAAATTTCTCATCTGCATCAGGGTCATCCTTGTTCTTGTCTGGATGCAAATTCTTTGCTTTTGTTCTGTAAGCTTTCTTGATTTGCCTTGTGTCAGCATTCTTTGGTACTCCAAGTATGCTGTAGAAATCCCTCCTGCAAAAAAGATGGAATAACACATGAGCAAACCATTTTAATGCTACTCAGCAGCTGTATTAAATTTATTAACACATACATTTTAACAGCAAATATGGCCGGACCCATGAAGAAGGAGTTCTATGGTCCATAAGCAGTCAAGTACATTCTTTCTCTTATAGCACATGCCTGCTACCCCTGACCTGTGATACAGGACAAAAAGGAACATCTGTACCTAGTTCTAGTCTATTCCAGGGTCAAGAAGAAGCCATCAGATTTGTTTAGTCACTGAAAATTTCATTAACGTGTAAAAGTAACCAGAAGAATTCCATGTTGAAAAACCTTAACAAGGTGTAACCATAAGGTGTGTGTAAATGTTTGATAGAGCCCAGCACAATAACGTAAGAGGGAGAGAGAACATCCGAGGGACAACCCATGTCCAACCATTATTAATGATATTGAAGCATCCAAATCAAGCTTATTATTGGTATCAATGAAGTAATGGGTTCCCTCAATCTACTATCTAAAATTATTATTAAACAAAGTGCTAATAACCTGAAAAAAAATTAGCTCATGCAGTGCACAGACCCTGAAACAATGCAAACTGAAACCACCATGCGTTTAAAGGGACCCTCCCACCTTCAAAAAAGTTAATGAATTGGCATAAAAGTGATGTCGCTCGGTTCAGAAAGAGCAAAAACGAATATCTACCAAATTTCATCGAAAAATATTCTCCGGTTTTCAAGATATTAGACTTTTACTTTTGTTTACTTTTTGGGATCTCCGCTGTTCCTAGCGACTTTATTTGAAAGTGCGGCATTTGTTGCGCGCAAAGCAGCATATACCACCGCGTGCTACAAAACGTTTTAGTCAAACATTTAAAAATCGTTAGATATCTGCGATGACGTCACACATTCAGAGGGGTATTCCTATGCATTAGCCCCTCTGAATCAAAATGCTGCAATTTTGAAATTCAATATTTCCGATTTAAGGCATTTCTCGATGTTGTGAGTGCCGAAACCGGTAATTGTGAGCCAGGGACCCCATTTTGGCTATCTCAACTCAAATCTAATGTTAAGGTGGGAGGGTCCCTTTAATGATAGGCATCACTATTCCATGCGTGTTATTCATCCACTGAATGTCAATATTCTTTATCAGTGTGCAACCATTCAGATAATCATTACAATGTTTTTTATATAACTTTTTAGCAATACATGCCCAGGCGAAAATTAAAATGACTCAATGCTACTCACCCTCCATATACATCAACAATGTGTGCTAGACAATACAAGAAAAACAGTGAATATCCAAGATAATTTGCCATTTCTTTTATAACAAGAAATCACTTCTTACAAGCACACAATGCCCAAATATATTCAAACAAGCGACATAAGCGACACCGAAAACACCGGCCGCGATGTTATGTGCTGTGCCACATAAACTAACAACTTTGACATTAATAGCGCGCATATCGAACAATGGCGCACCTTTGCTAAGAGAACCTAGCGGAATTATTTTGTACTAAAAAAGACAAATGCATATTTCAGCTCCAAATAGATTTATGCCGTTTAAAGAGTTATCCGTTTGAATACATAATTTTGTATTGTTCTTTCGAGACAAGAAAACATCCCCAAAAACGCACAAAAAAGCTTTTATTTTTTATTAAACTAAATGCTAGCCATACGTCATCGTAAAGTTATGCGGAACGAGAACGCTTCTGAGAATAAATTGCTTCCAGATTACTATGGGTAATTTTCTCTACATGATGAAGGAAAAGAGGCGTTCAACATGCAATTGATATCCGCTTGAGTAGTAAAGGAATTTTGATCCGATCAACGATCTCTTAGTCTCTCTTGAAGGTACCGATACACAAAAGGAAGCACCGGTGAGCTGGTAGCAAGAAACCGCTGGTAGCTAGAATTGGCTCGGCCCCATCTCTCCCCTTCCTCCTCGGCATCCTCATCCATCCTCCAGGGTAAAGTGCTCAGGTGTAAGCTCAGCGGCCTCGATTCGATCGGTCGGGCGTCTTGGGCCGGGCTGATTCATGCACCGCCGCACCGTGGCGCAGAACTTCCAAGAGACAGTCGACAGAGAGACTGAGCAATGCACAAAACGCAGATTTTGCATCTTGGCAGTTCTTCATAAAATGGTGTATGTGATAATAATCATTGTGACAGCATAAAGTATTCCACCCCATGCATAGCTCAGCTGGTAGAATAAAAATGCCTTCACTTCACTTCTTGGCTGGTTTTGAAACTCAAGCACTTGTAACAAATACGTACGTCACTCGTTAGAAAAAGTCACACACATCGACCCTTGAACAAATGTATTTAGAACTTTCAACTTCCTTGTCAGTTTCATAAACAACTATAAAATGTAAATAGTTAGTACAAACAAAAAACATAATACATGCATGTCATATCGAAAACGAATGAATAAAACAATCACAAATGTCGCCCATATATCGTACTGGAATAACCTATCATACAGATCACATTAGCGCCGTCATTGCAATCCGGCTGCACGCGCCGCATCCCCTTTCCAACCACAGAGATTCAACCACCTCTAGAACGGCAGCTCGGTCATCGGGATCAGGTTGTGCTCGGCGTCGAACATGCAGTTGTACTTGTGGTGGCAGCAGGCGGGCTGGTCGCGCACGGGCACACAGCCGTAGCGCACCTCTGGACAGGGTAGTTTGGTCTCCACCTGTTCCACCACGCCCTCGGCCGAGCACCGGTAGCGGATACACTGGCGGTTAGGGTCGTCCCACCACTGCGACCCGATTGGGTATGTCGTGCCGTTGAACATGCAGTTCGCTGTGACAGAAAGAGGGGGAGACGGTCAGGCGCATACAAAAGTTACAGTTGTAAAAGTTTCGCTAAAATGTACCGCAATTCATCATACTTTATACCATTAATAGGTTATATAGAGGCTAGAGCAGTAGCATTTTATATCGATAGATCGTTATCTAGTGACCCTACAGACCAACATATGTATATAATTGGTCTCTATACATTAACGTAACGTTACTATATCGATTAAATAAGACGTCCTGTTCGATGCCAAATTGGATTCACAAATACATTGGCCGTACAATTGTGGATTATGTACTAGTGCCGTGGATCTTAACCCTATTCCTGGCGGGCTCCGCCGGGACAAGAAACTGGCGGGGGGGGGGCCGATTCGGCCCCCCCCTGAGATCTCGAGAACGAAGCAAGATAGCGACAAGCGGTAAACGGCATCGGATACGAACGGCCAAGATCTACAATTTTTACTAAGGTCATTTTCAGGTCAGGTCAAAGATGACGTCACAGGGGTCGAAAAAGTCAAAATGGCGGCGCTAGATATGGAGAGAGTTTTTCTCGAATAACTTTCGAATTAGTCAAGATAGGAACAAACTAAGGGCATCATCGTGATCCTCTCGTCAATCCGCATCGAATGATATATATGTTGACCTCGAAAGGTCAAGGTCAAAGGTTGACCTCAGGTCACGTGACCTCGAGGTCATCATGTATGTCATTCGATGCGTCTTGACGAGCTGAACACAATGAGACCATCCACGCGTCTGTATCTTGTTCCTGTACGGAGTTATTGGCCAAAAACCTTTGGTGACCTTTGATGACGTCACATGACCTCACAGCTGCCCAACAGCAAAACAGACCTCAAGGTAGTGAAGGTTGATCGTATATGAAGTCATGTATGGTATATGGGGACATTCCGACCCGTTCTAGTGGTAAAAACAGGGAGTTGATTTTTCCCCCATTGACTTATAATGGGGAGGTCGCGAAATTGACCTGACCTTAGGTCACCGATATCAAAATTCCGAGATATACAAGTTGCACATACTGGTACCCTAACTAAACCCTGAAGAGAAGAAATTGATCGGTCAAAAACTCTAGCTCTGGCGTGATTGCAAACTTTTTTAAGGTAGGGTCACCAAACCGCCTCTGGTGACCTGACCTCAGGTCAGATCAACTCAAAATTTTCAGACATGTTGCGTAGAAACCTTTTAGGAAAAGTCAGAAAATTTGAGCTTCCTAGGTCAACGCGTTTGGGAGAAATAACGAAAAAACCTCAGGGGGGGGCTCCTGAGGCCCCCCCCCCCCCCGCCAGGAATAGGGTTAAAATGACCATGAATGATATGCAGATGTGGCCAATAAATATACCTTTAAAAAGACGACATAATGATTGAAGGTATATAAGTCGCAAAAGCATTGCAACAAATGATCATCGACCCCACCATTCCCAGAATTTTCCAGTTTCAGCATCCCACCCCTGGCCCGCTCTGTGTGGATACTAACGGCACGAATAGACGGGGCAGCAGTCGAGCGTGCCCTGCAGGGTGCAGGCCGGGTTCTCCGGCGGGTCGCTGCAGCGCTCCGTCTTATCCAGCAGTACCAGCTCCTCGCCGTCGCGACACTCGATCAGCACACAGCTGTCGGGGTCGTCGTAGTACATGGCGCCGTCGGCGTACTGCTCGCCCGAGAAGTCGACGCAGTTGGTCGGGCCTGGAGAGAGGAGGGGGAGAGACGGGTTAATCGACGATGGAGTGGCAGTACTGCAAGCTCTGGTGAGAATAACTCGAGCCAATAATTACTATGAGTCATGATTGTCGAAATTAAACATTTTTAATGCTTCATGTGGTTTATTTTAATAATACGGGAAATTTACAAGCGCAAAATCACCGAATTATTACCTGGCTTACCTGGGCGGTAAATATTACCGCCAAATTACCTGAATTACTTTTATCGTATAAAAAAGTCATTGTTATACACATGTGCAAAATTAATAACATATTCTAAATAACCTTCATTGACAAAGGTTCTCGACCTTAGGCAACACCGCTCCCTCCGACTCTCCCACTCACTGGAGCAGTCGTAGACGGTGCAGCAGTCCTCGACCCCCACGGCCACACACGTGCTGTCGTCCACCACGGGCTCACAGAGCGTACTCCTGTCCACCAGCAGGCGCTCGGCGCCGTCTGTACACTGCACCAGCAGGCAGCCGTCGGCGTCATTGGCGTAAATCTCGCCGTTTTGACGTCGTCGGCCGGTCGAGTCCGTACAATTGGAAGTCGCTACCGGGAGACGGAGAAGGGGCGAGGGTGTTATTACAGGTGTTCGAGCGAGAAAGTTGGTTTAATACGGTACGAAAATGTTATTGACAGCTCACTGGAAATGTATGTTGTCGTTTGATAAAAATATAAACAAAGATTTTATGTTAAGTGATGAAAAATATTTAAATATCAAAATATTATCAGCATCCTATTTCTGGATGTATTTTTTTATAACTTATTTCTGGATATTTCTGGGAACTGGATCAGCCTTCTCCCCGTATACGCACGCATCAGATGGCAGAGGTACTGCGGACAGCAGTTGACGCGTCCGACCACGGTGCAGTTCTCGTTGGGTGGGTCCTGGCAGAGCCGCGTGCGGTCCACCAGCACCTGTTCGCCGGCGGCACCGCAGCGCACCAGTTTACACCGCTCCGAGTCGGTGTAGTAGATCTCTCCGTCCTCCCGCTCCAGGCCTCTGAAGTCGATACAGGAGCCGTCGTCTGGAGGAGAGAGGGAGGGAGGTGTGAAACAGCCTTAATCGTCAATAGTCTTACACCACGTAGTCTGGCGGAGAGATAGGGCATGGCTGATGGAGAGAAAGGTTACCAGTCGTATCTGTTATAATGACATCGTTTTAAATTGAATGTTTCCTCCATACCTCCCTCCCTCATATTCGAACTAAACCACTTGAATTTTAATATCCCTCCCCTATCTAGCCCGAGCCCGAGACATCATAAAATAATATTGTCCATCCTCGCTATTTGTCTGACCTGGCGTATCGCAGCTGTAGCAGCACTGTCCTGGCTGCCTGCTGCTGGGACAGCCGCTGGGGTCCAGGGCCGGACAGAAGGTGCTGTTGATCTGCTGTACCCCGCTGCGGCGGCACCGGAACCACTTGCAGGGGTGTGTCGGGTCGTCCACCCAGATCTGGCCCTCCAGGTAAGTCTGACCCTGGTAGTAGCAGGTCACTGGGGGACCTGGAAACGGAAACGAGCAAGATTAGGTCGGGCACTAGGCAATGATGCATTCATGATATCTTTAATGACAAGGAAAGTCGTGTCGTTTGTCAGCGCAATGATATAAAACTGATATCGAGCAAAATCGTTCTCGTATCGTGAAGGAGTCGAATGGAACGATAAAAACGACTTCCACAATAATACCTATATGAATTCAGCGGAATATGTTCGAAAAACCCCGGCTAATATCGGTTCCTGTTTCCAAGGCTCGTCACTGTTTCCAATTAAGGAAATACGTGTCAATCTCCCGTGTAGGATCCCAAACTGACCGCTCTGACACTTGTAGCAGCACTCTCCGGGGTCCCGCTCCCTGAGGCAGTCGCTGGGCACCAGGGCCGGACAGTAGGTGCTGTTCACATGGTGCACCCCGCTCCGGCGGCAGATCAGCCACTTGCACGGGTGCACTGGGTTGTCGACCCACACGTCGCCCTCGTGGTATATTTGGTCACCGTAAGGGCAGGTCACTGAAAACGGAACAACATAATTTAGTGATATTTTCTCTTAAGTCCACGCAACTCGCAGTGTCAGCTTCTCTTAACTAGCAAGTGGCTGGCCTGGACATTTAAAACCCAAGCAATAGACGTTCCTTTATTGAGTTACGTCAGCTCGAACAATGTTCCAGCAACTGCTGACTTCCAGGGGTCATGTTACTGACCTCCGGAACAGTCGCCTATTACTGACCTCCTGAGCAGTCGAACATGTCGCAGCAGTCGCCTATTACTGACATCCGGAGCAGTCTCCCGATACTGACCTGAGCAGTCGAACATGTCGCAGCAGTCGCCTATTGCTGACATCCGAGGCAGTCGCCTATTACTGACCTCCTGAGCAGTCGAACATGTGGCAGCAGTCGCCTATTACTGACCTCCTGAGCAGTCGAACATGTCGCAGCAGTCGCCTATCACTGAATACTGACCTCCTGAGCACTCGAACATGTCGCAGCAGTCGCCTATTACTGACCTCCTGAGCAGTCGAACATGTCGCAGCAGTCGCCTATCACTGAATACTGACCTCCTGAGCAGTCGAACATGTGGCAGCAGTCGCCTATTACTGACCTCCTGAGCAGTCGAACATGTGGCAGCAGTCGCCTATTACTGACCTCCTGAGCAGTCGAACATGTGGCAGCAGTCGCCTATTACTGACCTCCTGAGCAGTCGAACATGTGGCAGCAGTCTCCCAATACTGACCTCCTGAGCACTCGAACATGTCGCAGCAGTCGCCTATTACTGACCTCCTGAGCAGTCGAACATGTCGCAGCAGTCGCCTATCACTGAATACTGACCTTCTGAGCAGCCGAACATGTGGCAGCAGTCGCCTATTACTGACCTCCTGAGCAGTCGAACATGTCGCAGCAGTCGCCTATTACTGACCTCCTGAGCAGTCGAACATGTCGCAGCAGTCGCCGGCCACATGCACCGGCTGACAGTCGGCTCCCGGTGGTCCGGAGCACTCTGTCCTGTTCACTTCCACCACCTGTGAGTTGGTGCACGTGTACCGTATACACGGACGCTGCTGGTCGTTGTACCACATGCTGCCCTCTGGGCGACGCACTCCCAGGTGCACGCAGCCCACTGACGAAAATAACGGATAAAGTTAGCGTGAATTAAAATAATCTCTCAATATCGGGAATTTCTTTCATAGATGGCTTGCCAGGTGGGGAAATTCATTCGCATGATGGTGGACATAAGCAAGTTGTAACATAGGCGGCGGAACGGGGAGGGCACCGGGGCACCGTGCCCCCTTTGATTTTGGCATTTTAACATTAGCCCTATGGGCGTTGCATGGAAAGAATGGGACCAAAAGTCGGCAGTGCCCCGCCCCCCCCTTAATTGAAGGTGTTCCGCCGCTACTGAGTTGTAAGTACAAACATGTCAAAGTCTTAAGTCTAGTGAACAGAGGACAAAAACGACATTTCCGAGGCGACCAGGATTTCTCAACAGCTGGTTTTACGCCAAACAAGTAAAGCTGGTGCAGACCCGCACCCGCCCCTTCCCCCCCCCCCCCAGCCCCCTCCCACTCACCGCACTCGTAGCAGCATCGTCCGGGCCGACGGAAGGACGAGGTGCAGCTCAGAGTCGGGCAGACGGTCTCCTCCACTGTCGATATCGTGCCGTTCTGATTACAGCGCAGCCGGCGGCAGGGGAACGTCGGATCATCGGGAAACATAGCTCCGGGCGGGTACCGCACCCCGTTATACACACAGGAACAGTTGGTGAAGGCGGGGCAGCACCGGCCGGAGACGGGGACCGCCACACAGCCGACGCCCACCGGGTCCTCGCAGGTCTGCCGGTGATCGGTGAGGACCTGCACCGTGCCGTTATTACAGACGTATTTAATACAGGTGATGACGTCGTTGTCATACCACACCTGTCCGTTGTCACGCTGGTTGCCCTGGTCATCCACACAGCCAAGGAGAGGTATGTCCGTGCAGTTGAAGTCGTTACAGCACATGAGGTCCCGCCGGTAGCCGACGCAGCCGTGGTGAGGCGGCAGAGGGCAGATAGGCCTCATGTCTGAGAGGACCACCACCACACCGTCCGCACACAGGTAGCGCTTGCACGGGTGCAGCGGATCATCCGCCCAGTCGTCATTGTGCGGCCGCTCCACGCCATTCTCGTCAATACACGAGCTGGGGCCGTCCGTGCCGTTGCCCTGTCCGGGGCATTCATACGTGTAGCAGCACTGGTTGGGGAGTCTGTAGCGCCGACAGTTGCCCATGTTGGCAGGCGGCGGCAGACAGGCGCCGGTGAGGCTCGTCGCCTCCACGCCGAACTCTGTGCACACGTACAGGTTGCAGTGGTCGATGTCGAACCACGTCGAGTGCAGGGAGAGGTAGACGCCGTCGTGGAAGCACGCCTGGCCCGCGCTGCCGCTGGTGCGGGCCGAGACCAGGACCGGCGGAGACGGTGGCAGCACAGCCGAGGCCTCTGAGCGGCGGGGCGTGCCGGCAGAAACAGAAGTCAGAGTGAATTAATGCACACACTGTGTGAACGAATTATTCAGAGCAAATGGCTACCTCTTATCGGTGCCAAGCACACTTTCATCTAACCTCTACAGAAGATCATTCATGCCACTAGAGAAAGACAGGGTGCTAATAATCAAATTATGCATATAAATACTACGAAATAGTCTGCTGTTATCAACGCTATCTAATTTCATTATTTAAAGACGTGAAACTTTTTACCTTCAGGCGTCTTTTTCTTCGGTGGCAGCTCTTTAGGTTTCGTTTTAATTGACGGCCTTTCCGGTTTGGAGTCTTTTGGCTTCCCTTTTTCCGTCTTCTTGCCCTCTCCCTCTGACTTTTCCACCTCGGTTTGTTCGGACTCTGGCTCTGTTCCGGTTTCCTCTGCCGGAGTTTCATCTTCACTGGAAACGTCATCTTCTGCTGCAGAAGGTTCAGCTTCCTCAGAAGCGTCCTCATCCTCCTCGTCACTGGAGTCGTCCTCTTTGGACGCGGGCGGCTCAACTTCCTCAAACGGTGCTGGAACTTCCTCCTCATCTGGAGGAGCCTCATCAGACTCTGCTGAGGCCCCCTCCTCCGACTCTGCAGGAGCTTCCTCCTCAGATTGGGCTGGAGCTTCCTCTTCAGCCTGCGCTGGAACTGTCACCTCAGACTCCTCTGGATCTGCCTTCTCAGGCTGCCCCGGAGTTCCTTCCTCTGATTCTGAAGCTGCCTTCTCGGGCTCTGCAGGAAGTGCCGCCTCCTCGGGTTCAGACTGGGGTTTCTCGGCTGCTCCCTCGGTGTCGGCACTCTCCTGTTCCGCACCCTCCTGATCCGTTTCCTCTGGTGAGGTTTCCTCATCAGAAGACTGCTCCTCAACTACAGTGACCTCCGCTGAAACACGCAAAAGGCTTATTTTCAATAAAGTGCGTAGGAAAATACGTAAATATGGACATTAGCTCATGAAAGACAAACATAAATTATATATGAGAAAAATGTGTCAGTGTTTCTTCTACTTCAGCAGAGCACCGAAAACGAAAAAGGTCGTACCTCCAGCATCATCTTCGACAGCTTCCGGACCCTCATCATCGACATATCCACTTCCTAAAAATGAAGGGGAAAGCGAGTGATTTAAATAGCCTTAGAGTATCTATTTGCATTGTTATTTACGTTTACTTTGGTGGCTTGTAAGTTATCGTTCGTAATTCGTAAACAATTAAAAAACGCTTCGTTTAGGTGTGATTGAGCCAGAAAAAAACTGGGCATCCATACCTTCGCTGGGAATGTCATCATATTCTTCCTCGACTACAGCCTTTTCTGAAATAAATTTGTCTACACTGAGGTAAAGACACAATGACAGCGTTAAAAATTTCCTTAACTGTGTGTGACCTTGGCATTCCAGAAAATCCTTATTGAATAACGGCGTACCATAATGAAGTTTCTAATACTATGTAAGAGGAACTACATCGTAAAGTGCATCAATTACCCTTATGCTTCGAGACATACCTTCACTGGCGCTTTCGGCCTCTGGCGGTCCACCATCTAAATCTATGTTATCTGAAACAACCGAAGGTTAAAAAAGGCATTAAATAGTTATCGCACAAAAGAGGAATAAAAGGTATTTGTTGCAACAAGTAACCCCACCAGATCAATTTCAGTGATGTTTCAATAGTATATATGTAAATCAGAGGACATTACGGGGACACCTTATATCTTACCTACGGGGACACCCTATCTTACCGTCCGATGGTTTCGGCTGTACCGGCGCCGCTGGCTTCTCGGTAACATCTGAAACAGCAGGTCATCCCTCACAAAACGGTTCTTATGCATAGGTGGCGGAACGGGGGGGGGGGGCACCGGGAAACGGCGCCCCCTTGATTTTGCCATTTTAACATTAGCCCTATGGGCGTGTTGCATGAAAAGAATGGGACCAAAAGTCGGCAGTACCCCCCCCCCCCTCCCTTAATTGAAGGTGTTCCGCCGCTACTGTTCTTATGTATCATAAACGGTAGTGTTGGAATAGACAATTAAATGCATAGTTAAGTGGATAAAGTAGGTATGAACCGAATGGAAAACGTCTTTGAAGCTTGCATTAGTTAAAATACGGCTCACTATGAGCTAGGTATGTTGTGTATTATGGAATAATTTAATGGAGTGCGAATTACTAATCCTCACCGTCTACAGAAGTGTCTGGCTCCTGAGATACTTCTTGGGCTTTTTCGGGAGCTTCTGAAATAAATACCAAAGCTTTGCTGACTTACTGGTACAGCTGTTGAACGAAAAATAAAATATAGGCCTGCGTACGTGACAGCCAAACGAAGAGCGAAAATAATGTGGCAGGGGATACCAGAAATGCAGCACACAGTTAAAACAACGATCGAAAAACGATACGTGCACACTGCACAATCACTTCTTTGTGCACTTTAATATCGATGTGAAATTGAGATAATGCACTTTTTTAATTAACGGATTAGACAACTACCGATAATCGGCAGGAGCACTTCCAATCGGAGCAGACTCCTAGTCCTGCCCGTGTGGCCGTTCGACGTCTGGGCGATCTTTCCCCAGGGACGGGCTGGTGCACATATACCGACACTGTGGCTAAGCCTGGAGCCCAACCTCTCTCCCTTATCCTGCCACCCCATAACTCTGAAATAAGGAGTTCCTTACCGTTGCTGGCGGCGCTCGATCTCGCTAAGGGCGCTCCAAAAGATTCGACAATGTCTCTCTCCTCTGTAAACGGGAAATAAAGCAACAGTCAGGACATTGGACCGTTGTAACTATACTTTTTCTTTCTATGAAACAAGCAAAAGGAAACGCTTAGGTATTTTGTATAGCAAACTGGTGAGAAGTAATTTGGGGTGGTAATAACGCGATACATAAGGCTGATTTTCTCGTCTCACACATACCTGTTTGGCCGCCACAGACCCCGGGGTGACACGCCTCACACCGCATGGAGAGCTGCGGCGATATTTTACACACCACCGCACAGAGGCGCCGGACGGGACAGTGCGGGAGCGGCGGTGCCGGCGTCACCACCGCCAGCGTCACCAGTATCACCACCGACACCAGCGCGGCGCGGGCCATGGTGACGGCACGACGGCGGCCGGCCGAGTGTCGCCTGGTGACCTGACGGAGCCTCACCGGGGCCCGGGGAACCGCCACCCGACCCGACCTGCCCGCTCAGCGCCGCAGGGTCTGTCCACTCAGCACCGACGACCGATGACGGTCAGATGACCGGTCCAGCGGTCACCGGCCGCGCCGGAACTCAGCGTCAGCAGCGGGACAGATACTGGGGCACGGGCCGGCCTGTGACAGCGGCGGGGTGGGCGGGGGGGGGGGGGAGGCTGGACCTCCGCTACAGGGGCCGCGGGGACCCCACCGGCGGATGTTTGAGATCGACTGCCGTGAAGCTGCTGCCGTGGACGGATGTCAGACGGGTGACGGGTGTCTGTCGGTCTGGACTCTGGATCACCAGACCGATGACACAACGCTGGGACACAAAGGCGAGTGGGAGAAGCCTCCCGAACGTCAGAGACCGCTTCCTGGTCATGATAACACTGGAATGACGTAAGGTTTTGTTTTTCTTTTACAAGACTACTATCGCTTTTATTGTGCCAAGAAACGCATTTGCTGTTCAATGGGACTAAACCTGATTCACAAGTTTTATAAACAGGTTCGCTATTTATTCACGTGCATCCAGCATGCCAGCAAAGGGAAACACACATATAAAATGACTATGAGAATAGATATGCAATATGCATACCTATTGCATACTGCTATCATTGCATACTGCTACTCAAAGTGATCGGTCTGCCTATCAACGACAGAACAGCTTGCCATCAACAGTGAAACAATGAAGGCGAGTACGCAATAATGTTACCGTTCAGCGGCTGTGTTTCTGTGCTGCGTTGAGGTCTTTATATAGCAGCATCCCTCCTCTCCCGGGCTGGCGGTCGCCCCACCCATGCCCTAGCGCGGTGGGCAGTTCCGATAAAGGTATGCTCCTCCTGTGTGACCGTTTGAGTTGTTTTGAGGCTTGTCTCACCAAGGCACGCCCGTCCCAACGGCGCACGCTCAGCTCAGCCGCTGCGGTTCACCTACCATGACCGTAGTCAAATTAGTCCAATGGCTCTCCCTTATTATCTCTCCCTTTCTCTCTCTCTCTCTCTCTCTCTCTCTCTCTCTCTCTCTCTCTCTCTCTCTCTCTCTCTCTCTCTCTCTCTCTCTCTCTCTCTCTCTCTCTCTCTCTCTCTCTCTCTCTCTCTCTGTCTCTCTCTCTCTCTCTCTCTTTCTCTCTCTCTCTCTCTGTCTCTCTCTCTGTCTCTCTCTCTGTCTCTCTCACTCTCTGTCTGTCTGTCTGTCTGTCTGTCTGTCTGTCTGTCTCTCTCCCTCCCTCCCTCCCTCCCTCTCCCTCTCCCTCTCCCTTGGACAACTTAAGGGGCATGGGATGCCGCGAAATGATATGAATAGACCGAAAGTAACCAACCCAGCCCAGAAGACAGTTTTGACAAAACAGGCTCACTCACTCGCAACTATTTCTTTTATGGAAACACAAACGTTTCCCAATGCTTATTGCTACAGAATGAAAGGGCCTCTCGAATATTGAATACCTACAGTCACTCCTACTGATTCTTTAATAACAATTTTAGTGTCAACTGTCGCTTATATTATCGTAAATATATCTAAGACATCTTAAATGCTATAATAAAATTGAATTAGTTCTGCATAATGAACCCGGAACATTTAACATAAACGGTTCTTCACATATCAGCCCCCCAGCCAAATAAGACCGGCTCGGCTCTTCAGATGTCGCCACTATGGTGTCAGTCCGATGCCCAGAGGACAGAAGTGTCCCTCTGTTGGCTGCTGACAGATTGGTGGCTAAACCGTCTTTTCTCTTTTTCTAGGTGGTCTTTTAAAAAATTCAGGGGAAAATAGTCTAGAATTGGATTTATCAGTTTTACGTCATACCAAGTTTTGAGCCTTTTGTGAAAGTGCCTGCAATTGCATGGGAAAGTTTATTAGACCGATGACCAATGACCATATTAAACAAGCAAATTTACACATCTACCAAAATAAATTGGCCTGGAGAGCAGAAAAAGATCGGTATTGGCTCTTGCTTAGGAGAAAATCACTTCTTTTGTTTCGTGGCTCATATTATCCACATCTTTTTTAAACAGGTTTTCTTTCCTCAACACTCTCGTGCTCATAGCACACATGCACGCATCCTGCACTTCTACCCCCCACCTCATGCACCTCTCCCTCATTTCCCACGCAGACGCCACGCCTGGCGCGTGGGACCCCTCACCCCTCCCGACACACACCGCACCGCTCCTCGTCGGTCGGTCGAGGCCCCGCCCACTGGCCGATGACGTCACGAGGGGAGGTTTCAAAGGCGGCGGCTGACCGACGCTGCCGACACATCGGTTTGAGAGACAGGAGGGTCCGTACGGAGCTGAGCCGCTGCCGCACACACACAGCCGTCAACATGGTGAGTAGAACGGTAGGGTGGGTGGAATTCCGGGGAATTAAAGAGTTAATTTTTATTTTGGTACAACATTCAGATTACTTCTTAAAATATTGAAATTGGAGAATAAAAACAGGCAATTGGCAGTGCGAATAATGCGCATTATGCAAATGCAAAATTGCATTGGATAAATTTTATTATCGCGTTAACCATTTCGAACCGAAGTATGTAGATAATTTCATGCCTGCCTACATGCGAGAGCTCGAAATGTTCGCGAAATCCGACGAATCACATCCCGCTTTGCCCCGCCCTGCCACAACAATATGAACCGACGAAGCCGTCGCACCGCCGGTAGGCGGCAATGGCCTGCGATCCCTATAGGTTTTTATATTAAAAGATGCTAACTTCATTCGGTAAACGGTTACAACAGACATGACACAAAACATCGAATTTAAATAACATAAAACACATTATTAATTTGTTCAATTGCGTTATGTGTGCGACGTTTTTATATACTTTTTTGCGCTTTCGCTGTAGATCGCCTAGTCATGCTTTCACCAGCAGACTCCAGACTTTATACGGCCCGTCACACTTGAACTCACGCCACCGTCACAGCGTCACAGTCACGTCACACTGGCGTCACGCCACCGTCACACTGGCGTCACGCCGCGACCCTGACCGTCATGGAGCGAGCGGTGCGGGTAATTATAATTACCAGTCTGGTACTGCTGGTAATTGCAGCTACTCGTCGGTCGCTGACGACAATTCGAGGCTCAGATGATATTGCAGTCATTGTGGAGACGGCGGAGACAACGATTAAAAGGTACATACGACAGAAAACTAAACTAGCTACTAGACGGCATGATAGCGTGGGCTCTGGGCACCAGGCCACACCCGTCAATGAACTCTTTGGCTGACTCAACCTTTCCAGTCATTCGTTTCAGTAGATGGTTTAGAGAGAGTTGGAACGAACAGAAACTTGAAAGTGGAATGAGTGTATAAGTAGTGTATAAGTACTGACACGTAACAGCAGAAAAGCCGTTGTTGTTGCTGACGGCTACAAGCTTGATGTATACCTAGTCGTTAAATGGATGATATTTCCAATTGTTTAGCGGAAACATCTTCACTCATGCAAACAGTTTCTTATTTTGAGAAATACAGGCGTTTTTGCAATCCATTGCATGTAGCATTCAAAATTATATAGCACGAAAAAAAAAAAACAAAGACTAATTTCTTGCTTGACAATTGATCCGACCGTATGAAATGATATCGTCCTGGGAAGCAGCTTCACACCTGATAACCTGATAGCTTCCCAGCCATCCCTATCCAGTTTGGTAACCTAACCGTCTTCCTGCGACTCTAGGAAACATTCGGGTTTATCTGATTCTCACGCCAGTTCCTCCTGGGAACTGCGAACATAATGCGGACACGGTAACCCTATAGTGCAGACAGACGTGACTATATGACTTTTGGGTACGGCCTCTGCAGCCTGCAACCGCTTTTTTGGTATCGATTCAAGTGCAGCCTCATTTGACTGCGATTCGGGAGTGACATGAAATAAATGTGGACTTTAAATTCATGAGTTCACGGAGCCCACGACTGTGACCGAATGTTGACACTGAATTTGGCTATTGTTTGCGGCATGCGAACTGCATTCAACATGGTGCAATCGCCCTCCTGGACTCCTTCTTTCTTCTCTCCCCTCCCCACCCTCCTTCCCTCCCCTTCCTCTTCCCTTCTTTCTTCCCTCTTTCGCTTCGTCCCTCCGTCACGGTGACACCAATAACGGGGCCACCGTCACGACTGTCACGGTGTCACGAATAGGCGCCAACACCGTGACGTCTTTCCGTGAGCGGCCGGGCCGTGAAGGGTAGTCGATCAACGACCCACGGTGACGGCGGGCTGACCAGAGGTAGATCAGAGGCGTCGCGTCAAATAATGTGCATGGTACGGAAGCGAGTATGTCGTAATAATGTGTTCCTTGTTGCTCACAAAGCCTAGATATTGTGGGATGGGCCTCACGTTTTTCTGATAGAATTGCAATTATGCATATCAGCTTAGGTATTATTAGCCGTTTTCACGACGGCCATCTGGTACACATTTAGTGCACAGCTGGTGCAGATTAGGTGCAGATTTGGTCGAATTAGGTTCAGTGTGTCTCTTAGTAGCATATCAGCTAGGGTTCCACTAATTGCTTATGTGCCTGCTTTTTCTTATTATCAGAGAGAATCATCGATTAAAACACTGAAATAACTTCATAAAATAAAATATTTTTGCTGTAAAAAAGATTAGGTGCAGATTTGGTCAAATTAGGTGCACTCACCGGATAGCCCGTCGTGAAAACGGCTATTGCCATTTTTTTCCTCATTTCACCTTAAAATAAACCGGGACTATTGTTAACGCTCTCACTATTCTGTTCATCACACTTACCTACAGGTGAGAGAATGAACCACTGCATTGCTGCAAACTCGCGTCTCGCGCCACTGTCATTCCGCCATCCTTCGTACCTCCCATTTTCCCACATTGTGAGACCCGTGCAGACAGACTGTGCAGCGTCGGTCTGCTGTTTCCCGTGCACCTGAGGCGCAGAAGTGCCGGAAATTGTCGGAGGTGGTTCCCTTAGGATGTAAGCCGTGGGATGCCTCCGAGCAGCGTTGCCGCACAGTGGTCCAAACTCCGATGGGAGCGACGAAAACCTGTGTGAACTCACGGCTGGCATCTGCTTTTAGCGCGGCACCTGCATACAAGTTCGCACTACACGCTCAAACGGATAAGTAGCTGTCTAATAAAAAGTTAATGGTATGATTGCAAACGTTTGAAACGAGTTCCTATCACTCAACTGCCTCTCATTACACTAAAAAGCATTTAACCAAACAATCATGACATGCGTGCAGCTGTCCAAACTCAATCACCAACCGGCGCCCCCTAACGCCCATCTCCCACCTCCCACCTCTTACCGTATACCACCCACCGCGGCCCCCCCCCCCCCGATTTTGTCCGGAGTCGTGATAACCGACCCGTTTCCGCCCTGCACTTCCCGTGACGCCACCAGCCATTGTTTTCCGCCTTATCTATCGTCTTTCACGTTGTCACCTCAGCGGAAAAGCGACCCGAAAGAGCGTGGGGTTGTCTCATATAAACGGATAGATCGGCACCGTCTTTGTAGGCAAAGGCAATGCTTGTGAAATTCAAGAAATTAAATTATACGTTTGCATCGTGCATTGCGAAACTATGTAAACGCCGTGGCATAGTCATTGTTCTCCAGAGAACACGTTAATAGCGGCGAAGACGTTTGATCTTCGGACAACATTTATTCCTCGAAAGATGAGATAAAAATGTAATGCTTATCCTTAACATAGAAGTTTGAGCAGACAATCGCAGTCCTTTCCTGTTGAGGCGTGTGAACAGGGTAAGGTGTCTTCATTTGATTTCCTTTACATCATGTAGTACGGATCAGATATCATTCGTATGACTCACGTAAGGCATAGAGCCTTGCGCAAAACCGCCTTGCGTAAGGCCACGTAAGGCCAAATAACGTGCGTTTGCGCAAGCTTAGAATGTTGCTATGGAAACTGCTGTGCTCCGTTCGCGCAGAGAGCTAAAGCAACACAGCTGCCCCGCACAACACAGCCGAGTATCGGACGCATTATCGATCGCGTCCTTTGTCGACTGCAGTTTCCATGGCAACACCGCACATCTCTGCGGCAGATGACTCAGTTAGGCGCTGATACGGGGATTCAAAACTGCACCGATAGTTTAGCGTGCTCGGCTGATTTGATTGCCTTGGGTTAGATGCGTTTCCCCGCCCCGGTCTTTTCCCTCATACTTCTTTGGATGGGTTTCCCTGCAAATGATCATCAGACTGTTGGTGATCTTTTTCATGGAAGCTCACGTAATATGCCATAGTTAATCGCGTTTTTCATTTATGAGGGCACTGGCGTTTTTTTTTCGCCGCTCCTACTTCAACCTCACCCACCTTGGTGCTAGCGCCCAACTCTCCGGGAAATGCAGTCTCCATACTCCCTGCTGTTATACAGACCCGCAATGCACGAGACTGCAACGACTCACAGAAGCGTATCCAGAGTATTCCGCCGCTTCGATGAGTCACCGCGATTTTATGCAACCCCACACGTAAATCAATCCCGATTCTGATACGAGTCGGATGTTGATTAAAGATGTTTAGAAAAGGGACGATACTCGTACGGCTGCAAACTTTACTGACACTAACGACATGCAACTTCAACTTCAGACAGGTACAGAAACGGGGTTGCAAGCTAGCTATTCGTTTGCTTAACTATTCAAATCTTCCAGCTACAAGATAACCTCGTAAATGGTCAATTATCTACGAGTAAGTCTGCCAGAAGCGGTCCCTTACAGACACCTTTCTCCAACGCTATACACAGAAAAGGAAGAGTCCCTTCCTGAGATCACCAACTTTTGACGGTAGAACTCGGGGACCTTTTCACCACGGCAGTCTGTGATCAGCCGTCCTCTCCAGCCCTGCAGGCCTTGCCCTGACGTCGTCTATCCCTCCAGCAATGGCGTCAGCTGGTCGGCGAGCGATCGGATACCCACTGGTGCCTGTCCAGTGCCCTGTCACTAAAACAAAATTACCGACCGAACTCGTGATATTACCCCCGCCAGTCTGCTTCGGCTCACTTCCTGGCACGCTCGACCAGTCTGCCCTCGTTTTCTAAATTATTTGATGTCACATAATTACGGTGTCCGGTGACGTTTATCCAACTGACTTTGAAATAGGTACCTTCCCGTTGTAGCACGATACAATAATACTTGGCCGTGCTGTGGTGAGTCTAAATCAGATGTAATTCGATTCTAAGCGAACCGGGATTAACCCTACCCGGACGGACAAAAAAAAAAAGATAGGACAAGAGAGGAGGAGGGTGGAATAAGATAGTGGTCAACAAACTAGGCACTAGGCAACGAGTAATTCAAACGACAGTAAGCTTGAAAAGCGAGCGGTGCTGGAGAGGCGGGGGCGGGCACATCATGGTTCTAACGGACACAGCGCGGGTGATAGGCGCGGACACTGTGCAGACACGGGCAGGCACGGGGCGGGCTAGGGCAGGCACGGGGCAGCCGGGGACGCCAGGTGCCCAGCCGGCCACAGGGGAAGGGCGGCGGCGGTGGGGGGGGGGGGGAGAGGGCAGGTGCCGACCGACCGGCCGTCTGCAGTCTGCCCCCTCCCTCCCTCCCTCCCTCCCCCCTCCAGCTGGATCCGCTCGCCACCGGACGCCACACGGGAGAGAGAGAGGGAGGGAGGGGTGGTAGAGGGACGGAGAAAATGGAGAGTGGGACAGGTTCGATAGAATGGGCTGGATTTGAGTGCGGCAGAGTTTTATAATACAGTTTGGATATCTGTACTTTCTGTCACGATTTATAGTGATTGGTCGCAAGTTTGCTGACGCCATACCATAACAGTTCGAAAACGTTTTTTGCTCATAATTCAAAGGAAAACTGACATTAATGTCAAAACAGTTGCTATTCTTTTGGAAGTAAGACTCATATCACTTATTTTTTAAAGATAAACGAACTGATGTGGAGCGACGATCTGCCGTTACCCGATCGATCAATCGCCGACCCTGTCCTTTTATTATACAAATAAGTCTTTTCCAGTAGCGCTGTGGTAAACATCCTTGTCGACGATAGCCATACGAAAACCAACAGCAGCCAACCGATAAGTGCGACCAACCTTTTGAGGAACCGTTATCAAGCGGACGTGCTCCTCTGTTTTGGCACCCCAGCTGCTGCTGGAATACTGAAGATGTCGTCCTGCCCTGTTTTGGGACCTCCTGTTCCTGGTACGCTGAGAAGTGAGATCGCCGTCATCTTGTTTGGCTTCCCTGTCCTCTGATTCTGCTCACATACAGCTCGCAGTATTATGACCTTATATGAATCGGCTGGCACCATTCACCTTCACCACCTTGAGCTCCTGGCAACTATACAGCTGAATCCTGAGAAGTTAGGTTCACCGGATAGCATTTGATATCCCTGTTATTTTAACGTAGCGCTGTTGATTCAACCGAATCCGAAGCCGCTTTATACTTCAAGGGCAATTTTTATGTCCTTGACCCCTTCAACAGATTGTAGTCCCGAAATGTCTGAATTCCAATTTCCAGCGGCCATTATCTGGCCTTTCTTCCAACCAAGCCGAGAACCCCAGCCTCCTCCCAGCCGTTTGACCTCCCAGGCCCCTCTCAGCCGCATGACCTTCCATTCTCCCCTCTTATGCAGCTCTCTGAGTGACCTCTGAGCTCCGGTCAGCCGCGTCTGACCGTGGCCGGACCGTTACGCCCGTCGGCCCGACCACGCCCGGTGTCCCGGCTACATTGATTACCCAGTCGGGGGCGTCTCAGTACGGCACGATCAATACTAAACCGCCACGGGACCCGTCACCATACAGCGGGACGACACAGGACAAAGTGTCATGTGAGGAAAAGACAATATTGGCATCTAATTGAATCCTTTTTACCTATTAAATCTTTTTACCTGATAACCTTTTAAGCAGATGATGCTGCTGTTTTACTGCCATCGAGTCATATTTGGCATGAGAAGACATTATCTGTTACCAGATCCTGAGTATCACATTGCGTGCTCTTTTTCAAAGAACAAAGGCTGCCGAACCTAATTGCTAACACGCTGAAAATAAGCCCTCTCTTGTTTTGAAATAGGATTTATGGCGCTTAAAGGATTAATTTTTCACGAGGAGTGGGCTCACCTGCAGCATACAGGAAGGTTAATTCTCTTCAAAAATAACTAGATCGAACTTGTCGTGCCGACTCTATCTACCGAACTTATTATAATACAATCAGCATCAACCGAAATCCACCCCGATGCCGAAAGAAAACCGTTCACACCTTATCGTATCCTCGTCATTTCAATATCAGTGGATTCAAAGTTATCAAAAAGTATACTTATCCGGTCACAGGCAATCAAGAAAAAAGACAGCGAAACGGCAAATGGCGATACTGCACTTTGTTATAATCGCACACCAGTACTATTTCCCACCTAACGTGACACTATGTTCTCCCGTCCACAGCGGGAATGTATCTCGGTCCACCTCGGCCAGGCTGGTTGCCAGATGGGCAACGCCTGCTGGGAGCTCTACTGCCTCGAGCACGGCATCCAGCCCGACGGCCAGATGCCCTCCGACAAGACCATCGGAGGCGGCGACGACAGCTTCAACACCTTCTTCGCAGAGACCGGCGCCGGCAAGCACGTGCCACGAGCCGTGTTTGTCGACCTGGAGCCCAGCGTAGTCGGTACGGGATTACCTTTGTTCAAACTATTATTTACGCAGGACCAGGAGTTTCGCTTTTTACCATTATGTGAAATACGATTTCCTTCCATGGGCCATCTTCAACGAGACATTTTGCATTGCGAGTACTTTCCGCTGACAATCTTCTGTCCGTGTCCCCTTCAGATGAGGTGCGCACGGGCACCTACCGCCAGCTATTCCACCCTGAGCAGCTCATCACCGGCAAGGAGGACGCCGCCAACAACTACGCCCGTGGCCATTACACCATCGGCAAGGAGATTGTCGACATTGTGCTGGACCGGATTAGGAAGCTGGCCGACCAGTGCACAGGTGAGGGTTTCTGACGGGGGAGAGGATTATGAGTTTCGTGGCAAATAATGGGGATGTTTGAAGGATACTAGCAGGGTACATTGGTGATGACCCGAAAAGTAAAGACCTTAAAGTGCCTATAAAGCGCTTCAAGAGAAGCTGGTGAGCTAACACTTTGCTTCTTTTTCAGGTCTGCAGGGTTTCCTGATCTTCCACTCGTTCGGCGGCGGCACCGGCTCCGGCTTCACCTCGCTGCTGATGGAGCGTCTCAGCGTCGACTACGGCAAGAAGTCGAAGCTGGAGTTCGCCATCTACCCGGCGCCGCAGGTGGCCACGGCCGTGGTGGAGCCGTACAACTCCATCCTGACCACCCACACCACCCTGGAGCACTCGGACTGCGCCTTCATGGTCGATAACGAGGCCATCTACGACATCTGCCGCCGCAACCTGGACATCGAGCGCCCGACGTACACCAACCTGAACCGTCTGATTGGCCAGATCGTCTCCTCGATCACGGCCTCGCTGCGCTTCGACGGCGCCCTGAACGTGGACCTGACCGAGTTCCAGACCAACCTGGTGCCCTACCCGCGCATCCACTTCCCACTGGCCACGTACGCGCCGGTCATCTCGGCTGAGAAGGCCTACCACGAGCAGCTCTCAGTCGCTGAGATCACCAACGCCTGCTTCGAGCCGGCCAACCAGATGGTCAAGTGCGACCCGCGCCACGGCAAGTACATGGCCTGCTGCATGCTGTACCGCGGCGACGTCGTGCCCAAGGACGTCAACGCCGCCATCGCGGCCATCAAGACCAAGAGGACCATCCAGTTCGTCGACTGGTGTCCGACCGGCTTCAAGGTGGGCATCAACTACCAGCCGCCGACCGTGGTGCCCGGCGGCGACCTGGCCAAGGTGCAGCGCGCCGTCTGCATGCTGTCTAACACCACGGCCATCGCCGAGGCCTGGGCCCGCCTGGACCACAAGTTCGACCTGATGTACGCCAAGCGCGCCTTCGTGCACTGGTACGTCGGCGAGGGCATGGAGGAGGGCGAGTTCTCCGAGGCGCGCGAGGATCTGGCCGCGCTGGAGAAGGATTACGAGGAGGTTGGAGTCGACTCCGTCGAGGGCGAGGGAGAGGATGAGGAGTACTAGTCAGCTCGTGACGCTACCAGGAACGACCTGAGGGGTCCGCCAGTATCTGGTGAGAAGCCCAAGTGACGATCCACATGACGACGAAAGAATATGCCGCCCGAGTTGACTTCAGCTACCGAATCACCGTGCCTGGCTAGGGGTGCCAGTGATTCTTGGCGAATACCATTCCACCCATGGACGTACTTTTTGAAGCTTGTGTCTTGACTGACGTATTGCGAATTGACATCAGACGAAAGCCGAACCGCTTATAAGTTATAACTACGTCTGTGGCACGATCGAAATGTTCCTTCTCTGTGTCTGATATACTCGTATGGCAGCCACAAAGCGCTACAGAGCGAGCTGTGACGATTCATGTACTTACTCTACGGTGTTGCGTAGGTGACGTGTGGAGATTTTTCAGCTTTTGCACCGCAGTTGTGCCGGGGCGGCTTAGGATGCTGCTCAGGCCCATCGCCGCGCGAGGAACACGTTGCACATTCCCTGTCGAGATGACATTGTCAATACACTGGCAGCATCCCCGGCTATTGGAGTTTGATCTTTTATTCACCCCGGCAATCTGACCCTCAAGGTTTATTTATGTAGACAATATCAGGCCGCGAGGATGAGGGGAGAATTAGGCTCATTCGTCCAAGATTACTTTACTAACACCGCATTCAACCGCCGGCTGTTATATGACTATGTACCGCAGTGGCTGGGTCTGTACTCTGTACTCTGTACATCGAAGACGAGAGTGCCGCTGGGACAGACCAATCAGCGACTCAAATCGTCATCTCCTACAGTTTTGTTCTTACTGTCCGTACCGAATACATGGAAGGGATGACTATTAGCCTGGAACAAGGAAGCCCAACAAAGGATACATATAGGCTGTTCCGGAGGATAAAAGACGAATGGCTTCAATGACTGAGGTCCGAGGATCAATTGCAGGAATTGGCATGTGGTAAGTGGAAGGTCAGAAGCCGGTTGTATTGGCATGGGAAGGAACATGTCCTTGTGTATCGCGATAATGACGAACATACCACGATAGCTTGCTGATTTGACCTATTCATTTGATGCTTTTTATATTTATCCCGTTGGGCCACTGCGCGTGATAAAAGTTTGAAACGTGAGAGGCCAGGCGCTTGCAAATCAGTCATTACAAAATTGAACGATAAGTAGCTACAACAACTTGAGGAAATAAAAAATACAGCAATTGTAAGAGTATCATGCACTATCAATTACTTACGGAATCGAGAGGCTTTACATCTGAAATAAAGTTAAAACTTTCAACCATGATATGCACCGTTTACATATCTGTTAATTTATCCTGATCAACAGAACCAAAATCACCTGAATTAAGACCTTGAAAGTAATTCTGCCAGGAGCAGAATTACTTTCGAGCAGGGGCAGTCAGGCTGGTTCAGGCAGGACAAGAGCGATAGGGTAATACCGCGTCTAAAGCACCATTGACCATTGTGCAGGACCGTGACTTCACTGCATGAGATCACTAGAAAAATAGTCACCTTGGGATTCGCGGAAACCAGCCGTTGTAAACACTGTTAGCGCTCGTATTCACACGAATGGTTTATAAGGAAATGTGATAAAGGGTCCCATACATTGACCATTACAGGTAATGAAAATTAACGGTCCAAGCGGCTTAGTAAGACCACAAAAACCTTATTCAAGCAACCGCCACAGACATTCGGATGAGCTGTGAGTCATACAGCTCTGACATTTAACCGAGTTTTGCACTTCATACGCCAACGAGATGGACATATCTCAGTGAATTCACTGCAGAAATGTCATGCTAATGTATGAATAAAAAATGCGTGCTTTGATCCTAATACGATCAAACTCTCCCAAGTCAAGACAACGCTGAACGCATAGCTATTGGTAGGTAATGCTTCTATCGCATCGCCGTTCCGTTCGGAGCATCGCTGGAAACATTGCCGCCGGTATTGTATTTCTGCATACAATATGCCCGCAAATCGTTTCTATATGAGTCGTGACAAACAAATACCAATGAGGCAGAGGCAGATCCAGCTCAGAGTTTTTCTTTGGGGGGGAGGGGGCAAACCATAACAATTTATCGATTCTTTCCATGCCTCGTCCATAGGCGTAATGTTAAAATTATGCCGTTTGGGGGGGGGGAATGCCCATTTTGCCCCCCCCCCCCCCTGGATCCGCCACTGCAATGAGGGCATGACGAGTGTGGGTTTTGTCAGTCGTTATCGTTTGAGACGAATCGCCGTCATGGTTCTACATACAAACCGAGACGGTCGACAGACAGAGTCCCTACATATATGGTGCTGGTCGGATAAGGCAGTCCTTTTGGTGCCAGGTGGGGCCGGTGCTGTTGGATCAATTTCAGAGTCCAAATGGTGTCAGGGTATCAGTTTGGACCGTGACGATAATTCACATCTCGCTGATGAGCTGCGAATGGGCTGAATGGGTAAAAAGCGGACTGCGATTTATAATGACCGCTGTTAACCGTGTGAGGATAGCCTAAAGGAAGACTGGATGGAACCTACCGATGTTTTCCTTGTATGAAGCTTTTATCTGTATCAATATTTAGTTAGCGGCTTACCGACAGGCAAATATCTTCAAAATGCCCTACAGCTAACTATTGCTTTTGTACGTCATTCTTTTCTCTCTTCGTCTTCCTCATTCACTCACCCATTCTTCTAAGCCTAAAAAAAAACACAATACCTATAAAACCATGCACAGACGTCTCTATATAGAGAAGTCTGTGAACCATGCTATACTCCTTTGTATTGGGCGTGAGCCATCCCCTTATTTCCAGCGCCAGACACCGACAACAGGGCACCGATAGCTATTTCATGTGCCACGGATCCCGGACGGCCTGTCACGGGCTGTGGATTTGCTACATCGATATGTGACGACGTGTACCACCTAACGGGAAAGTGACGTGACGAACGCGTCACGGTGTCTGCCGGAGCAGGGCGTGACGGGACCAACTCCACTGCATATATCATAGCGGCGTGATTTATCGATAAACATCGGTGGAGCCTGGTGACAGGTGGCGCAGTCATGGGAACAGACAATGTGAGTCGTTGCCGTGATATTTTTAAAAATGAATTTCATCTATCTCACCCACTCTCTCCCTCCCTCTCTCTCTCTTTCTTTCTTTCTTTCTCTCTCTCTCTCTCTCTCTCTCTCTCTCTCTCTCTCTCTCTCTCTCTCTCTCTCTCTCTCTCTCTCTCTCTCTCTCTCTCTCTCTCTCTCTCTCTCTCTCTCTCTCTCTTTCTCTACCTCCCTTTCTTATTCTTTCAACAGTCCACAAGTCCTTCAATCTTCCCCCGACAGAAGTTTAATCGTAAGCGGCGCTGAAAAGGTACTGCCGTTTTCCACTTTGGCCATGTGTCCGACTCCGAGAGCCACGGAAAGGCCGCGCGGTCTGATGAGCGCGTGCAGTTGGGCAGTTTCTCTTTGGCTGCCGACCGCAGACATTCTTCAGCGAAGGGCGACCATGAACGGCAGAAAAAGAACGCACTCATCCTGCACTGCACTGCCGAGCACAATACCAAATGTGTATTGCGGCGGGCCGGGACGGTCGGAAACAATCGATTCATCTTCTTTGATTTGATCGAATATGGTGCAACAATGCTCATTGTGAATTATGGGCGGAGAAAATAATGAGATCGTGTGCACATATCAAAGGTTTTCTTTTATGAGCCTTCATGCATAAGCCTATCAAAATTTTAATTTCTAGCTGCAATATCGTTACTCGATCTCATGAGCAACTTATAGGTATCCCTTCAGTCCACGCGGTCACCAGCCAAAACCCCACCGGATGCTGCCCATGTATGTAGGCCTGTATGTCCGGATGCCTGCCTACCTCTAGTTATAGTCACCGTGCTACCTACCACATTCTGTCTAATCGGTATAAGTATGTCGTCCCATCAGTCGCAGATGCCCTTTGCTCTCCTGCGCTCCCTCCTCTTCTCTCTCTCCCTCCCCCTCTCTCTCTCTCTCTCTCTCTCTCTCTTTCTCTCTCTCCCTCCGTCGGTGGGAACCATGCAGCGGTGACTACCCCCGGAGTTACGTGTGGGACGGACGCCAGCAGGCGTCAGCGGGGGACCGGTGTTTGTTCGATGACTGGTATGATGGTATCCGTCACGGACGGATGCCGCCGCAGCTGCCTCCCGCCGGCAGACCGGACACGGCCGCCCGGTCAGCGAGCACGAGCATGGCAAAACGCCCCTACCCCTGTTACCTTCCTGCAATGTAACTATTAACTCATTTTCTTATCGGTTGGTGAGGCATGGGTTGCCTATCGGGGAGACAAGAGCTGGACCACGGCGGGATCGTTGTGGCTCATGCCGCTCATCTATGCTTGTAGGTGCACGGCGAGAAACATATCAGAAGAACCCCATTTGATTTGATTTTTCATCGAGGGTCAAATTATGTCCATTACGAGGTTTAATGAGTCTTCAGTTTTTTTTTTGTTCGTAACTTTGGGTCTGTTGCGTGTTAATATCCACCAGTCGCGCGTCGGTAGGCAGCAGGCCTAACCTAATAATTGACCCTATCGGACCCGTTTCCATTTTGTAACTTGATTAAGGTAATAGCTGCCGTCGAAGGCGCCTACCGCCACAATGGCCGATACGGGACGCCACAATTACAGGCACGACAGGCGAACACGCAATATAACGGCCCCAGTGTCGGTTGGAGCCGGCTAATACACTCTCTGAGAATTACCTGTAACAGTGGATCAGTTATAGGGATATTACCGTATTGTACCTAACCTACGTCAGGCTGAGCATTCAGTGATATGTGTGTGTCAATTGGGCCGTTTTTTACGGAAATATAGGCATCTTGTTTTAAAAAATTGTCCTAAATGACAATTATTTATTCATTTATCCGACAAAATAGACCACAAGCAACATGAACGCCAGTATGACAGATACCATAGCTATAGAGCTATTAGCTATTATTATTACCTATTATTATTTACCTATTATTATTACCTATTATTATTACCTATTAGCTATAGAGGAATAAAACATTTTCGGGAATTCATTGTTCTAGTAAGGGTTATCATAACTTTCCTCACCAATTCATCGTTATTCATCATGTGTAGCGTAAAATAAACGGGCAGCAGGGACTACATATATGATAAGGTGAACTGTGCAAGACCACGAAGTACCCCCGATAGGCCGATAGTCAAATCAACAACACCAATCAACAGAGGAGTAGAACCCCACGGCTTGCACACCCACCGGAGCTACAATAAACAAGCCGACATGATCACATACCATCGACCAAACAGACGTAGGTATACCTACCCTGATCGTGTGAGCATCAGCCAGGTGGCGGGCGCATCGACCAAACAGCGGGCGTTGTAAATCAGGCAGCTGTTAGTTGTTACCCCTCTGCTCCGTCCGTATCCATCAAACAAACAACGGCAAACGGTGAATTTGAACGGCAAATTAGGGTTCATACGTTATCGTAAGGCTTAGTTGGATCCAGTTGGATCTTATTTAGGTTTCGCTTACGGTAAGCGAAACCTAAATAAAGATAGGGGTCACTGTTATAATGCCTATAATGGAACCCTTGCTGCTTAGTGCTCATGACTCAATTAAAAGGGCGGCACGTATACCTATCTAAATATTTGGGAGAGCAATAAGGAAGGGCGTGAAACCCCCTATACCCCATCCTCAACAGTAGATGATGCAATTCAGTCAGTGTCTTTCCAAATCCCAGTCATATTTCTTGTATGATTTAGGTCCACGGTTCGCCTCCTATCTAGGTTACCTTTCATGGATTATAATTCAGAGTTGAATCAAGCCCAGGGACGAAAGTTCGATTCGTCTAAGAAATCAA